TGTAATGCAGTCCAGCGGTGTTCTCCGGAGCTCTGCACAGTCAATCTGCACCGGTCAGCGTTCCAGCACCGAGAGAGCACCCAGAGCGAGCGCTGGCCCATCCAGCTCTCGGGTCCCCAGGCGCCTCCCCTCGCCCCGCCTCGTAGGCGTGACAGTTGCCAGAGTCTCAATGGGGGTTGGAACTTCCAGAACCAAGCTGGAATGGCTACCCACTACATATTGGTTACTAAAGGTATATTCACAAGAATACCAGTTGAACTTAGCAAAAGCATAATATGGTAGCTTGAATGAAATGTCCCCCATAGGTTCATAAGGAGTGACACTATTATGAGGTGTGGCCTTGATGGAGTGGGTGTGGCCTTGTTGGAGGAAGTGTGTCATTAAGGGTGGGCTTTGAGGTCCCTCCATGATGACATTGGACTAGACCTCTGAATGTAAGCCAGCACCAATTAGATGTTTTTCTTTATAAGAGTTTCAATGGTCATGGTGTCTCTTCACAACAATAGAAACCCTAACAGAGGCAATACTTATTTTTACCTTGACCTTATCAGGAATCTAGCAAGCCTCATTTGCTTCTGTAAGTTTATACTCCCCACATTACTGTTGGTAAATGTGTGTTTCTACAAAATGACAATGAGAAACAAGAATATCTGATTACAAGAACAAGGGAAAACATTGACCTCTGTCTGGTCAGCAGTCGTTAAGCCATTGATTAGCACTAGAAAGTTTCAGAGCAAACAGGCTTATTCTATTTCAGTAAGTGTTTTAGGTGAATAAAGAGGAAGAACTTGCACTGTAACTCTCAGTTTATATTATTAAAATATCCTCAAGCAATCTTCTCTGTAGCCACAAATCACTAGAGTCTTGATATTATGATTAGTACTGTACTTTCATTGGTTCTGCTTAAGCCTGTACTTTGATTTGATCTCTCAAACATTCAAATGCTGTGTTCTTAGACTCAACAAGGAAATGTGAGCCTCCTCCAACTATTGCCAATGGAGAAATCACTTCCATCCAATTTTCAGTGTACACACCATTATCATCAGTTAAATATCAGTGCCAGTCTTTGTATCAACTGCAGGGCAACAAGAAAATAACATGTAGAAATAGAGAGTTGTCTGAGCCACCAAAATGTTTACATAAGTACTGCATTTTTATAAATCATGGGAAAATCAGTTTCCTGGTTGGGAAATTTTCCTGTTTATAAAGGAACACTCACAGGTTAAAAGAACTGTTTAGATGACTGCTTGACTAACAAATATCAGAGGAAGGCAAGATGATTAGTTCATTTTCATATAAAAAGAGTTGACAAGTTATATGTTATTATATATTATTGAGTTTTTGTTAACATGTATTGATGTCCATAAAGCTGGGTGCCAGCGTGATATTTCCATATCTGTATATAGCTTGCAGTGACTAAACACAGCATCCTTCATACATGCTCCCCTCCCCTTTGATACACCATCTAACTTCTACTAATCACTGTCATTTTAGTTTTACTTTCAACATGGGAGGGGAGCACAAAAGACATGTCTCCCTGTGTTTTGCTTTTATAACTTAATGTCTTCCAACCTCTGTTAATGCACTATCCCATTACATATGCGACCCAGCTCTATGAATCATTGCCATGCATTCAAAGGACTTTCCACTGTATGAGAGATTATGCATAAGACTTGTCTTCCTGGTTTTTTGGATCATTTCACTTAATGTCTTCCACTGCCATTTTCATGCTCAAATAATAAAATTATCTTTTTTATTAAATATAAATATATTACATTGTCTTTATAAATTAATCAATTGGTGGGCATCTAGACAAATATCCCATCTTAGCTACTGTAATGTTGTTATTTACTATAAACATATACATACATGTTTTGTAGGTTGATTTCATTTCCTATGGGTATATACCATAAGAGGGATACAGGGATGATGTATGATAGATCTATTTTTATAATCTATGGTAGATTAGATTTTTAAGGAATCTTCATATTGTTTTCCATAGTAACTACAAAATAATCACATTCTCATCAACAGTTTATCAGCTTCTTTTCCTCCACACACTATTAAGCATTTGATATTTTTAAGGGCAATTTTATGTAATAATGGATTATTCTAACTGGGTGAAAAGGTATCTCATTGTGGCTTTAATTGGCAGTGCTGTGATAGCTAATGATATTTAGCATTTTTCCCTCACTTGTATGTGTATTTACTCTTTTGGGAAGTATCTCTTCATCTTAAGCAGTTGTGGTTGGTTTACAATGCTTTTGTTATTTTTTAAAAATTTAATTAATTAATTAATTAATTTTAGATCCTGACTGAAGTTTCCCTCCCCTCCTCTCCCACCATTCCCTCCCCCGACCTACCCTCCAGGACCCCCAATCCATTCCTCCTTTGTTTCTGTTCATAAAGGGACAGGCCTCCAAAGAGTATCAGCAAAGCTTGGCACATCAAGTTGGCATAAGATTAAGCATTTCCCCTTATATTTAGGCTGTGCAAGGCAATCCAGTGTGAGGATTAGGTTTCTAAGAGCAAGCCAAAGCATTAGAGACAGCCCCTGCTCTCATTGTTAGGAGTTCCACAAATGGACTAAGCTACACAACTGTCTCATATATGTAGAGGGCTTAGGTTGGTCACACGCAGGCTCCTTGGTTGTTGGTTAAGACTCTGTGGGTTCCTATGAGCCAGGTTAGTTGTTTTTGTGGATTTTCATGTCATATCCTTGACCCCTCTGGGTCCTTTGATCCTTCTACCCTCTCTTTAGCAAGATTCCCCGAGCTTAGCTTAATGAATGACTGTGGGTCTCTGTATCTGTTTCCATTCATCACTGGAAGAAAGCTCCCTGATGACAATTGTGGTAGTCACCAATCTGATTACAGGGGATGGCTAGTTCAGGCTAGGTATCCACGAAAAGAAAAGAAAGGAGGATATGATATAGATATAAAGGATATAGATATGATAGGATAAAAGGGTAGATTATTGAACCTGCTTTTAAGGAGCAACAACTTGTTTGAAATGTTTTACATTGCTATGGATTTTAATTTATTGATACAAATTTAAAGTTAATTTTGTTATACCGTATGTATATTTCTACTCTTGTTTAAGGTATTATGTTTATGCAGCTCATTTGAAATTGTAATGAGTAATTAAGAAATACAGATTAATAATTAGTCTTCTATGATAGTCAAAATTATAGTCATGTTAAGTTTTCTAGATATATATAGATATAATTTAGTTAGATAGGTAATCTTTAAACACTTTAGAGACCTACAGAAGATGGCATTTAAAATGTTTATAAAAACTTAGACTTTCTGGACAGTGAGACACATCTGCTCCTGGCAGCACCAATTATTTCAAAGAGAAAGATGGGCATTGAAGACATTCCTTATTGAGTTTATCTTCTTCTTCTTGGCAAAAGCAGCCATTTGGGCAAGAAACTGTTCTTACCTGGACTGCTTGACAAAATGTTGTATCTACTGGACATACAGGACACATAGGAAGGTGACTACTGAACTTTGCAAGGCAAGATGGTCCTTCAGGTTCCTGCTTCACAGAAGAAACTGCCAGACATTCTAAAGGACATAGAGAAAAATGACTGAAAGACTCTAAGCCTCTAGGCTGAAGATGGATGTCCCAACACTACAGAGGAACTTTGGGTAACTGTCCAAGAAGGCAGCTGTCCCTGTCATTTCCAGAGTTTTGGAAGTTGCTTACATGCTCTTCCTTTTTACTTAGGTAATATTATATCCTTCTGGGGTCTTTGATGTAGTTGAAGACTAGATAAAATTTTCCTTGGTTAAGATAAATTAGATATGAAACCTTAGGCTCACAAATATAGGATAGATAAAATATTTTCTTTAATTTTACAAAATACAAATAGACTAGATATTGTAACTGTAATTCTTACTTGTTATGTATAATTGTACTATGTTAAAGTTAAACCCTTCATTTTTGATTAGACAGAAAAGGGGAGGTGCTGTGGGATGTTCTATATGCTGTGAATGTGTTGCTCTGGTTGGTTGATAAATAAAATGCTGATTGGCCAGTAGCCAGGCAGGAAGTATAGGCAGGATAAGCAGAGAGGAGAATTCTGGGAAGAGGAAAGCTGAGTCAGGAGAGATGTCATCCCACTGTCCAGGGAACAGCATGTAATGGCACACAGGTAAAGCCATGGAACATGTGGAAACATACAGACTAACAGAAGGGCTGAGTTTAAGTGTAAAAGCTAGTCAGTAGTTAGCCTAAGCTAATGGCCAAACAGTTTTAATTAATATAAGCTTCTGAGTGATTATTTTATAAGTGGGCTGCATGACTGTGGGGGCTTGGCCAGACCAGGAGAGAAACTTCCGAGCTACAGATCATGTTATTTTTTCTTTTATTTTGTTTTTATGGTGGATTACATTGACAGAATTTCCTATGTTTAACCATCCCTACATCTCTGGGATGAAGCCTACTTGATCATAATGGATGATCTTTTTTAATGTGTTCTTGAATTCAGTTTGCCAGTGTTTGATTGAGTGCTTTTGCGTCAATGTTCATGAGAGAAATTAGTCTGTAATTCTTTCTTTGAAGAATCTTTGTATGGTTTGGGTATCAGGGTAACTGCAGCCTCACAAAAAGAATTTGGTAATGTTCTATCTGTTTCTATTGTGTGGAATAATTTCTTATTAATTAAAATTTTCCATTTATTTTATATACTGACCATAGTTTCCTCTCCTTCCTTTCCTCCTGTTCTCCCCCCAACCTCCCATCTACCCCCTCCCCATCCATCCCTCCTCCATGTCTATTCAGAAAGGGGCAGGCCTCCTATAGGCATCAACAAAGCATGGCATGTGGAATAATTTGAGAAGTACTGGTATTAGTACTTCTTTGAAAGTCTGGTAAAAATTCTGCACTGAAGCCATCTGGTCCTGGGCCCTGAGTTCTAGTAGATGCTTCATAATGAACCTTTGTTGTCTCTCCATTTTTGTGGGCTAGATTTGAAGATGATTTTGCTGTCGACTCTACATCGGTGTGGTATATATGTGTTTTTTAAATAAATTATATTTAAAGTATTTCTCAGAAGTTATTAATGAGTTAATTTTATAAACATACTAATGAATTATGTAGAGCACAATGGATATATAACACACCTAAAAGATAGTGAGTTGGCCATGATTTCTTTGAAACGTCTTTGATATGTAGAGATTTTCCAGGATGACTGAATGGCTGGATTTCCTAGCATCCTTCTCCATTTCCTGAAATCAACACAGGTAGATAGATTTCTTATCCCACCCCCACTGGCTCAACGCTTCCAAAATTGACCTTGAACTCACTGTTTGGCTGAGGATGTCCTTGAACTCTTGATCTTCGTGCTTCTGCCGTTCAGACACTAAGAAGAACTGAAATCTCAGGCTGCAACACAGGGCCAGGCTTTCACAGCCGCACTTTTGAGTTAAATTACACGGTGGTAGGGGAGCTGGGACTCAGCAAGTACAAGATCCTGAGACCTGGAACGGCAGCACAGAGAGAGACGGAGAGAAGCCAGCACTAACTTCCCTAGCTCTGCAGCCAGAGCAAGAAGAGACTTCCCCACACAGAGGAAAGATTGCAAAGAGACTCCTGGATGCTTTGACTAAGATGACTCAGCGGGCAAAGACACAAGCCCTCAGTCTGATAAGGGAGCAGATCAAAGGGATTCAAGCAAGGAAAGAAGGAGTCAAAGCATCTCCATTTTCAGATGATATCATTTTCTACCTAAAAGAACCCAAGACTCTACAAAGAAACTTCTACAGCTGTTAAATACTTCAAGCAAACAAACTAGAAACCAAATTAACAGACAAAGATCAGTAGCCTTCCTCTAAGCAAATAAAAAACAAATTCAAGGGAAAAAACTCAAAGAAATAGTACCTTTCACAACAGCTTCAAAAACTAAAATACAGTTTATTGGCATAACTATTCAAGAAAGTAAAAGACTTATATGATTAAAACATCAAGACAGGGAAGAAATAAAGAAGATACAAGATGGAATAACCTTGATGCTCAATGATTGGTGAACACTTAAAATAAAAATGAATTAAATTTATAGACCATGTACTAAATGCTTACAAAAGTTTTGAAAATATTCCCTGCCAAAACAAAAATTAAAATGAATAAAGAAACCGTAGAAAATTTGTGTTTGTACATTTTTGTAGGAATTCTCTTAACATATTTCTGTGAGGTTCTCAGAAGTACAACCATACTTCATGGAAAATAGTATGATACTATTTTCATACTAAAAGTATTAATTTAAGAGTAAGAACATGTAGTTGGGTGGTGGTTTGAGCGCACTTTTAATCCCAGCACTTGGGAGGCAGAGCCAGGTGGGTCTCTCTGAGTTTGAGGCCGGGCTGGGCTACAGAGTGAGTTTCAGGAAAGGCACAAAGCTACATAGGAAAACACTGTCTCAAAAAACAAAAACAATCAAACAAAAGAATAAGAACATGAGGGGATAAAATTTAATGAAAGATTACATATGAACATGTTAATACAATGATCAATATAGCATTTCAATATGAAGATACAAGAATGGCTCCATATGATGTAATAATATAATATTTCAGTTCTAGTTAAAATTATAAATAAGCAGTTACCATATTAGATTTAACAATATGTCTAAACCACTTCTCAGTTGAGTTGCAATAAATAATTTGACTTCATGAAGAAAGACCTCCTCACATACCTCAGTTGTCTGAATTTTATTGGTTTTCCTGTCCATCATACCCTCTGTCTTCTTATGTAGTTATTGTAATTAATTGAAAGTAATTCACTGATCAAGTGCTTTATCTATGATAGTAGTGTTTTTTTTTTCTTATTTTAAAAGTGAAAGAATTACACTATGTTTTTGTGTAGGTGAAAGATATAGCTTCCTTATTCACTAAATTGTCCCATGTAAATCAAAGGACATAGTTACTTCAAAAGGATAAGATGTGAAATCCTCACACTATTTAGAAATAAAAGCCTGTGAATATTAATACATAGACCCAGTGAGAGTCAAGAGCAACAATGTCAAGGAAAGAATTAGAAAGTGAAAGGAATTGTTAATGTTATATATGGTGAAGTTATTGCCATTTATAGAATCATGAAGTACTATATGTGACAGTATCCAGAGAAACTAATTAATGTCAGAGAGGCACACATACATCATGATGAGAGAGGGGAAGCCTGACTGATATGTCAAGCATATAAAGATGTGCTCATTAAATTTCATTTGCACAGTTATCAGTATAAGTAAATAGTATCTGTATTTAGTTTTTATATTCTTAATTTTAATGAGAATAAATATTTTTCCTTATTTATATATACTTCTTTTCAGAAACGACATGCAAACCTCCTTCTATTCCAAATGGTTTCTATTTTCCTCAGAAGACTGAATATAAAACTGATGATGCAATCATATATGATTGTAAAGTTGGCTCCTATCCTGCAACTAAAATACCTCTTGTAAAGTGTACAAGTGATGGCTGGATCCCTGCTCCAAGATGTAACTGTAAGCTTTATTCACATATTTAATCCTATAATCCTGAAAATTACTCTTTTAAAAAGGCACAGATAGAGATATATTAATAACAAATATTTGACTTATTGATTGTGTACAATCCTTAGAAACACTTTATTGTTCAAAGTAATATTTTATATATTATATTTTTAAGTAATATTAAAATGTAACATTTCAAGTAATACTAAACCACATTTTAGAAAACAAATAATTCATAATTTGTTTCTACTCAAATTTATATATATATATATATATGCATAGGTATATTTTTCTAATTAATAAACCTTTCAAAGATTTTTTTAGCAAATTATTAGATAAGAATATCATCATAGAATTAATTTTATTTATTTTCATTATAGCAAATATTCATCAAAAATATTTGCTGCATAATGAATAAATATCTTCTTCACATTTGTGTAGTCCAGATTTGAGGATGACTTAGATACTGTCTCTGCATCAGTGTGGTGCTCTCAGAGACTGCCATGGCTCTCAGTCATCAGGAGCCTTTGTTGAGCTTTAGGCTCTGTGTTCAACATGTCACACTCACAAGGATTTAACAAGAGGCCTCAATTCATTATTAGATATGTGTAGCTGTAATTTTAAAGGTTCTTATTAATAAAATCAAACATGAGGCGAGTTTTTGGGGTCCATGCTGGTAGATCAGAGAGACAGAACAAGCCACAGCTATCTCACCTCGCCGCATCCTCAGCTGGTCTTGTCTCCTCAGACTGGAGGCCTCTGAGTCCTCATCCGGAATGGGTTTCAGCTGAATTACTGCTCAAAAGCCTGAATGCTTAACCAGCCAAATCTTCTAGTTTCTGGTCCTCACGCCTTATATATCTTTTTGCTTTCTACCACCACTCCCTGGGATTAAAGGCATGTGTCACCATGCTTGGCTATTTCCAATGTGGCCTTGAACTCACAGAGATCCAGAGGGATTTCTATCTCTGGAATGCTAGGATTAAAGGTGTGAGTGCCACCATTCTCTAGCCTTTGTATCTAGTGGCTGTCTGTTCTCTGACCCCAGATAAATTTATTAGAGTACACAATATTTTGGGGAACACAATACCACCACAGATATGCCTCTGCATAGATTGCTTGATGAAAGCTAACTTGCTGAGGAGTTACTGATCAGAGAGACAGTGGGGGCCCAGAACCCATCTGTGATCTATTCACACACAATAGTTTTGCCATGGATGTTCTTCATATACTGAGTTCAACACACACATGAAGGAAATTCTGTTTCCCTCTTTGGAGATTTTGCTTGGAAGAACTTCAGTTGCTTCTTAACACGTGTACAACACAGTGTTATTTGAGTCAAGGGTATTTTATTTACTTCATTCTTTTCAGGTTTTTTGCCTATCTACATCCTTATTTATTTATTTATTTATTTTTCTTTCTTTCTTTCTTTCTTTCGTTCTTTCTTTCTTTCTTTCTTTCTTTCTTTCTTTCTTTCTTTCTTTCTTTCCTTCTTTCCTCCTTTCTAGCAGTCCATGGTAAATGTGTATCATACTTAAGCCTGATATTCCCTAAGCCAAAAAAAAGGGAGTGGCCAAGGAACGCTTTATTGTCATCTTTTTGGCTTTGTGTCAATATTACTGAAGTAAATAACTTAGAACAAGGATTGATTTACACTTGTAGTGACTTCCACCACTTTAGACATGTGGCAGGCAGAGTATCATGTCAAGGATTGCGTGCTAAGGCAAAGCTACTTGCCCCCTCTCCACCAGGAAACATAACTAAAAAGGAAAAGCCAACATCCAAATATCCCTTCAAAAGCATAGCCCCAGTGACCTAAGTTACTTCAGCTGGCCAGCAGTTCCTGAAATTTACACCATCTCCCAACAGGAGCTGCAGTGAGGAGCCAAGCTTGTAGCTGACACAAGATTTTGGAAAATATATAAAATATATTATATGATAAATATATAAAAGAAGCTAGTTTCATTACAAAATACTATTAATACATATGAGAACTAAAAGGAAACTGTTTAGTAATTTTTCTATATTTTTAATTTAGTTCTTTAATAATTTCTTACATGTATATAATGGATTCTCAATATTCTTTCTTCTCACATGCCTCCAACTCTATCAACAACACCTCATCCTTGCCTATCTTTTCCCCAGGTTCCTAAGTTTGAGTTTTGATATGATGATGTATTTAGTTTAACCAGAGCATATGTGTAACATTGGATTGAAACTGTCCCTTGGAACCAGGTTTATTCACTGGTGGGTGGATGTAGACCTGAGAGTACTGACCTCCTCCCCTTTTCCTGAATCTATGAGCTTGAAATGGCTCAGAGGTGAGAACCATGGTTCCCTGAGACCTTACTCCATTTGTGCCTACATGTTGATTTTCTATTCTTGTGCAGATTCATTGTGGTATCTGTAATTGTTGAGTTTGTGAATATAATGGCTGTGAGGTTCTCTAAAGTACAATCCTACTTCATAAAAAGATTAATGCTATCCTGATATTAAAAGTGCTAATTATTTAAAATAATAACATGAAGAGTTAAAGTTTAATGAAATATTGCATATAACTTATTAATACATCAAACTATATAGTGTTTCAATATGAAAATAAAATAATACTTCAATATGACGTAATGATGTTAGATTTCTGTTCTAATTCAAATGCTAAATGAGAAGTTATATATTAACAAATATCTCTAATTCACTTCTCTGGTGAGCTCTAAGATATAACTTGGCTACATGAAGAAAGACCTCCTCACATACCTCAGTTGCCAGAATTCCATTTGTTTCCTTGTCATGGACATACTCGGTCTTCTCATGTAGTTATTTTAATTAATTAAAAGTAATTTACTGATCAAATGGCTTATCTATGATGCGCATGCTTTCCTGTTTGTTTATTTGTTTCTCTTTTTTAAATATATAAATTGTTTTGGTTTGTTTATCTACCTATTTATTTATTTTACAATAATCATCCTGAGTGAGGTAACCCAAACCTAGAAAGACAAACATATTATGTACTCATTCATAAGCGGAATTAGCCATAAAATAAAGGATAACTATGCTACAATCCGCAGACCCAGAGAGACTAAGTAACAAGGAGGGTTCATGGTGGGATGCCTGGATCTTCCTGGAAGGGGAAATAGAAGAGATTTCATGGGTGGACTGAGGATGGGTGGGAATGGGAACATGAGGAAACAGGTGAGAGGATGGGGGCGGGAGTACTGAAAGAGACTTCCGCTTTGTTTTCTTTTGTTTTATTTCAAGCAGAACCTTGTGATTTTCCACAAATCAAAAATGGACGTCTATATGATGAAAACTATCTCAGGCAGCTCCTCCCAGTACCTGCAGGAAAGTGGTTCTTCTATCACTGCAACAGTGGATATAAGATATCTTCAGATAAGAGATCCATTATCTGCACTGGACAAGGCTGGGAGCCACAAGTTCCATGCGTCAGTAAGTCAATGTCTGCATTGAATCATGTTTAATTCTATCAAAGAGTAGAAAGAGAAAAGCACATACATAATTACAGTTAAGTCTCTCATAGCAAAAATTAGACCGACAGAAGAGTTTTTGAGCAAAAAGACTAGTTTCTGACCTTTATGAGCAGTTCTTCATGAAATGAATGTCCAAAATAGGGACTATGAAAATGCCTTTATTGCTTGCATATTTTTTTATAAAAGCTAAAGACAAGTGGTATTCTTTTAAACAATTGAGTACTGAACATCATGCATGCTCATTTAACTATTGTAATGATAAATTTTAATTTAGTTTCTTTGAATAAATTAATGTTTTCACATTTTTAATTTACCATCTTATGGCTCTTAGGAGAATGTAATTTCCATAATGTGGAGAATAGAAAATCTTTATTATGGGACCTATCATATACAGAGGGCCAGTCTGCAAAAGTCAATTGTCAACCTGGCTACAGTCCTCCAAATGGTCAAGACATAGTTACATGTACAGAGAACGGCTGGTCTCCTCAACCCAAATGCATCCGTGTCAGTAAGTAACCAGCACTGAGATCACAAGATGCGCTTGATTTCCCATTCCATCTATAATAACTGTGGCAAAATAGTTCTTTTCTAATGTATGTAAGTGAATACCAACGGTTACTGGTAAGTATATAGAAAAGTAAAGACACCTAACAGACATTAGGCCATAATAAAACAAAATATTGGGTAAATTTTGGCTAATTCATAGTAGAACATGCTTTGAAACCTCCTTGTCATCTAAGTCATAGTAATTATAAAATTATAGTTTAAAATTAAACAAATGATAATAGCAGCACATACCACTGATTTACTCAAGACTTGAATATTTATATGATTAATATTAGTAATCAGTTTAAAATATGTACTGAGTTTTATTTAGTAGTTTTTCCTTCATGCTAGTTTTGCTCATATTCTTAATTTTACATATTCTCCCAATTTGTTAATTGGGCTGATGTATATTAACATATCACTTTTTCATCTTTATGTATCTTTTTAAGTTTTTTTTAAAGTTATATCCAGGTAGATTGCTTTAGCTTTTTCTCTAAATAATTCAACAAGATCCTAAAACAAATGGCATTTTTATGCTCACTTTCCAAGGATTCATCTCTGAAAATTCATTTTTATTCAAGAATCAGTTCAAACATGTATAGTGCTCAGGTCATTGGCATTGAAAAAAGTGAGTATGTTGCCTTTTTGTCCAACTGACAGTTGACATTGTCCTTTGCTTTACAGAGGCTTTTCAGTTTCGCAGTTGATATTAGTGCCTGAGACACTAGTTGATGTTCTGTTCAGAAAGTTGTCTCCTTTGCCAGTATATTCAAGGCTGTTCCATACTTTCTCTCCTTTCAGGTTCACTGTAACTGGATTTATGTTGACTTCTTCAATCCACTTGGACTTGAGGTTTTTTTTTATATATTTTTATTTTATAATTAATTTAATTTTACATATCAGCCACAGATTCCCCTGTCCTCCCTCCTCCCTCCCCCCTAGGCTTCATGCCCAATAAACCCCCCTTCCCACCTCCTCCAGGACAATGTCTTCCCTGGGGAGTCAGCCCAACCTGGCAGATTCAGTTGAAGCAGGTCCAATCCCCTCCTCCCTTCACCAAGGCTGAACAAAGTGTTTCAGCATAGGCCCTAGGTTCCAAAAAGCAAGCTCATGTACCAAGGACAGGTCCTGGTCCCACTGCCTCGGGGCCTCCTAAACAGTTCAAGCTAATCAACTTTCTCACTTACCCAGAGGGCCTGATCCAGTTCAATGGGGGCTCCACAGCTATTGGTTCATTATTCAAGTGTTTCCACTAGTTTGGCTATTTGTCCCTGTGCTTTTTCCAGTCATGGTCTCAATATCTCTTGCTCATATAATCCCTCCTCTCTCTTGCCAATTGGACAACTGGAGCTCCAACTGGGGCTTGGTCATGGATCTCTGCATTTGCTTCCATCAGTCACTGGATGAGAGTTCTATCATGACAGTTAGAGGTTTCGGCCATCCAATCACCAGAGTAGGTCAGCTCAGGCACTCTCTTGACCATTGCCAGTATTCTACAGTGGAGGTATTTTTGTGGATTCCTGGGGACCTCTCTAGCATTATGCTTCTTCCTGTTCCCATGGGGTATTTATTTATCAAGGTATCTCTTTCCTTGTTCACCCAATCTTTTCCTGATCCAGCTGGGATCTCCTGCTCCTCTAAGCTCTCTTTTCCCCTACCCTTGCACTCCATTACCCCTCCCTTACCCCAGTTTGCTCATGTAGATCTCATCCATTTCTCTGTCACTGGGCAATCCCTGTGTCTTTCTTAGGGTCCTCTTTACTAGGTAGCCTCCCTGGAGTTGTGAATTGCAGTCTGGTTATCCTTTGCTTTACAACTAGTATCCACTTATGAGTGAGTACATACCATGTTTGTCTTTCTGAGTCTGGGTTACCTCTCAGGATGATTTTTTCTAGATCCATCCATTTGCCTGAAAACCTCATGATGTCATTGTTTTTCTCTGCTGAGTAGTACTCCATTGTGTATATATATCACATTTTATTTATCCATTCTTCAGTTGAAGGGCATCTAGGTTGTTTCCAGGTTCTGGATATTACAAACAATGCTGATATAAACATAGTTGAGCAGTCCCTGTGGTATGATTGAGCATTCCTTGGGTATATGCCCAAGAGTGGTATAGCTGGGTCTTGAGGGAGATTGATTCCCAATTTTCTAAGAAAGCGCCGTATTGATTTCCAAAGTGGCTGTACAAGTTTGCATTCCCACCAACAGGGGAGGATGTTCCCCTTGCTCCACATCCTCTCTATCATAAGCTGTCTTCAGTGTTTCTAAACTTAGCCATTCTGACAGGTGTAAGGTGTTATCTCAGACTCATTTTGATTTGCATTTCTCTGATGACTAAGGATGTTGAGCAATTCCTTAAATATCTTCCAGCCATTTGAACTTCTTGTTGAGAATTCTCTGTTTAGCTCTATAGCCCATTTTTAAATTGGACTGTTGGGTATTTTGATGTCTAATTTCTTGAGTTCTTTATATGTTCTGGATATCAGCCCTCTGTCAGATGTGGGGTTGGTGAAGATCTTTTCCCATTCTGTAGGCTGTCATTTTGTCTTGTTTACCATGTCCTTTGCCCCACAAAAGCTTCTTAAAATAGCCACAAATGATATAAAATACCTTGGGGTAACTCTAATTAAGCAAGCAAAGGACCTGTATGACAAGAACTTTAAGTCCCTTAAAAAAGAAACTGAAGAAGATGTCAGAAAATGGAAAGATCTCCAATGCTCATGGATAGGTAGGATTAACATAGTAAAAATGGCAATCTTACCAAAAGCAATATACAGATTCAATGCAATCTCCATAAAAATACCAACACAATTCTTCAGAGACCTGGAAAGAATAATACTCAACTTCATATGGAAATACAAATAATCCAGGATAGCCAAACAAATCTTGTACAATAAAACAACATCTGGAGGCATCACAATCCCTGACTTCAGGGATATGTAGTAGCTCTTTCACTATAGAGCTACAGTAATAAAAACAGCTTAGCACTGGCATAAAAAACCAACATGTGGACCAATGGAATCAAACTGAAGACCCTGAAATTAATCTGCACACCTATGAGCATATGATTTTCAACAAAGAAGACAAAACTATACAGTGGAACAAAGAAATCATCTTCAACAAATGGTGCTGACATAATTGGATGTCAACATGTAAAAGGCTGCAAATAGATCCATATCTGTCACCATACACAAAACTTAAGTCCAAGAGGTCCCATTTATTAATTGTTTCTCTCAGTGTTGTGCTACTGGTGTTATATTTAGGAAGTGATCTCCAGTGCCAATGTGTTCAAGACTACTTCCTACTTTCTCTTCTATCAGGTTCAGAGTAACTGGGTTTATGTTGAGGTCTTTGATCCACTTGGACTTGAATTTTGTGCAGGATGATAGATATAAATCTATTTGCACTCTTCTAATTGCAGGCATCCAGTTAGACCAGCACCATTAGTTGAACGTGCTTTCTTTGTCTATTGTGTATTTTTGACATCTTTATCAAAAACCACACATCAATAGGTATGTGAATTTATGTCTGTGTCTTTGGCTCAATTCCATTGATCATACTGTCTATTTTTGTGTAAATACAATATGTTTTTTATTACTATAGCTCTGTAGTACAGTATGAAATCAGGGATGGTGACACCTCTAGAAGTTCTTATATTAGACAGGATTATTTTAGTCATACCATTTATTATTTGTTTGTGTGTTTTATTGTTTTGAAGTTGAGTATTGTTCTTTAAAGAACTATAAGGAATTGTCTTGAAATTTTGATGGAAATTGTATTGAATCTGTAGATTTCTTTTGGTTAGATGGCCATTTTAACTATGTTAATTCTTCCTATCCATGTGCTTGGGAGATCTTTCCATCTTCTCACATCTTCTTCACTTTCTTTTTTCAAAGACTTGGAGTTTTTCTCATACAAGTCTTTCACTTGCTTTTTTAGAGTTACCCAAGATATTTTATGTTATTTTCCACTATTGTTAAGGGTGTTGTTTCCCTGAATTCTTTCTCAGCTAGATTGTCATTGGTACATAGGAGGAGTATAGACTTTTTTTTAGTTATTCTTGTATCCAGCCACTTTGCTGAAGGTGTTTTATCAGTGTAAGAGTTCATCTTATTTTCTAGATGCTGGAATTGACCCTAAGGCCATGGCTTAACCAAGTGTTGTTCCAATGAACTAATAGCCCTGCCCTTGCATTTTATTTTAGCATTGTATTGTAGAAAGCCATGTTCTCATAATCTTGAACTTTGAATCAGAGAGAAATTAATGATCATCAATTCGTTTCCTTCTACTGTTTAGGTTTTTTTCTTGGCTTTTCAATGGATTTACACTTCCTCTAATTTCTTATTTGTCTTTTCCTTTACTTTCTTTAAGGAATTCATTCACTCCCTCTTTAAGGACCTCTATCATCTTCATAAAGTTGTTTTGGTGTTCTTTTCCTTGTACTACAGCTGTGTTGGAATATTTGGGCCTTGCTGTAGTAGAATAGCTTGGCTTTGGTGGCAACATTTTGCCCTGGCTCTTGTTGGAGGAGAGTAAGTCTGGGACCAAGTCAGGTTTATTAACTAGTGAAATCAATACAGTACACTCACCAATACAGAACAAAGCTGCACTGCTACTTCTTCATTCCCAAAGGAGAGATGGAGACCAAACTGAAAGCTACTCTTCTCCATCGCTTGCTCCCACCTCCACCCAGCCAAAGAGAGGGGCCACCTCTTCCTTCCCAACTCCTTATCCGGTCACATATTTTCACAGAAGACCATGCCCATTGGGCCAAGCTGCCACAAACTATTGGCTAATGGATCAGTGTTAATAATTACTACAACATGTGGTTGTTGATTGTATTCTTAGCTGGCATCTATACCTCTGGGTTTCAGGTGACTAAAGGCTTAGGTGCTAATTTCTGAGTTTGTGTTTGTTTGGTGGGGAACAAAAGTTCCTTGGATTCAGTTTCTTTCTCTGGTTTTCTGGTCTGTGTGGCCTGTGGTTGAGCAGGGGTTCTCTAACCAAGTTGAAGAGCTGGGACCTGGCAATGAAGAAGGGAGAAAGTATTGAGGATAGTGTTGGAGGTGGGGAGACTAATAACCATGCCACAGGATTTGGTCTACCTGGAGTTCTGGCATGGCCTTTGGTCAAGTTCGCCTACCTGTTCTTCTCACTGGTGTGGTCTACATGTGAGCAGAGGATGTCCACCTGACTTGGGAGCAGGGACACATCAATTGGGGCGGGGGTGGAGGGATTATTGAAGATTGTGTCTGGGAACCGAGAGAGTGGAGAAGTTCTATGAGCAGCCTACCTGTCTTCTTGCTGGTATGGTCTGCACTTAAGCAGGGGATGTCTGACCCAGTTGGGAACTTAGACATAACAGTGGGTGTGGGAAGTGAGGAAGTAAGTGATGGTGGTGGACTGAACCTGTGGGAACTGAATGCAGGGACTAAGAGAGTTCTGTGGGTAGACCACATACCTGTTCCTCAGGTTGGTATGGTCTGCTTTATTGGTCATTTTTTTATGTCATCTTAGATGTCATTGCCTAAGCCAAAAGCAAATGTTCTAGAAGTTTATATTTTACATTTAGATGTTTGATCAATATTGGGTTAATCTTTATATGAGTGTGAGAAAGTTTTTTTTTTCTTATTTTGCATTTAAATGCCTATTGATGTTCTATTTGATAAAAGGCTATCTTCCACTAGGAAATTGCTATTGATTCTTGATAAATATATCCTGGTCCTATTTGTATCTGGTTATTGACTTGCTGTTCTTTTCCACTGCTCTGTGTGTTTGTACATTCACCTGTAACATCACAGATTTCTTTAATGACTACTGTAGGCTAAATATCTTGTAATATTAGACAACCACTCCTTTTATTTTTTAATCAATTATATTTAAAATATTTAAATTATAAAGAAAGTATAGATTGTAGAAATCTATTCTTCGGTAATTGTGATACTTCTATTAATCAAGACAATTTATAATCTTTAAATTGGGTTTGAAATATCTAGATTCTTGAGCATTTTGAAGGATTTTCTTACTGTTTTGTTCTCTGGCCATGTGACTTTTAGAAGGAGCTTGCTCTTGAATGTAAAATGCTTTTCTGAAATCAATTTGGAAACAATTGATATTGTATAATTTAATTTTTCTATTCATGAGCATGGTGTATCTTTATATTTACTTATATATTTTGTTTCCTTTAGCTCTGATCTGTTGTATACAGCCAAAATATCCTATGTGTATTCAGTAGATGGTGAGCTAGTACATGTTTTTCCATACTGAAGCAACTATATTCATCTTACCTATTTTTCTTGAGTGAGTGGTATAATCTATGGCTTTTACTAACTCCATTCATTGTAAACTTGTCGAATTAATTGACATGAGTGTACATAATATTTCCCCAATTATTCTTTTAAAATAGGTAAAGGAGTAAAATAATATAATTGTCATAATTTCTGATATTGGTGATCTGTGCCATCTCTACTTTTTATCTAATAAGTCTGATTAAAAGTTTATTAATCTGCCAGGCGTTGGTGGTGCACACCTTTAATCCCAGCACACGGGAGGCAGAGCCAGGTGGATCTCTGTGAGTTCGAGGCCAGCCTGGGCTACCAAGTGAGCTCCAGGAAAGGTGCAAAGCTACACAGAGAAACCCTGTCTCAAAACCCCCTACACACAAAAAGAAGTTTATTAATCTGCAGACATTTTATACTATCAGAATTTAAAATTCATTTTATATAGGAATGTATCAGTACATTACACACAAAATTTCTTTTACTTCTCTGGTTGGTTATTTCAGTTCTGGACATGATCCCCCTCCCAATTCACTCACTTTGACTATAATTCTGCTTTTCTCTAATATCTTAAGAGAGCCTTCATTAACTCATATGGGACCATGTTCCTTTTCAATGTGTATGATGAGTGCAGCAAGCTTCCTCCATGCTCTTAGTTGTCATCCCACAGATTTGGATTTGTGTGATACTAAGTGAGCATTACCAAATGTTTTTCTAAGATTTTTTTTTTAATTGGGGGGAAAAGATGTTGCCACAAATATATTTTCTTTCACCTCCACCACAATCCTTTGAATAAAGCAGCACTCAATAAAGTTGGAACTCTAGCCATCAGGGCTTAGGATAGCAAACCTGCAGGATAGGAAGATTGAGTTTGAGTAATCATTTTCTTCCCTTTGACATTTTATTAGACTTGTCTAGAGAGCTTTGTTTTTGACTCAACTAGTGTGTTCAGAGTATCTATAAACTTCTTCTGGGGAACTTCATAAAGGATCATGAAGATTCAGAGGAATCCTTCCACTCTTCTAGTTTGAATATCACACATTGTTGGTGTGCGGGGAACCTTCTATCTTACTATTTGTGGTGGTTTTTCTTCTTGTGTTCTGCATCACAGCCTTGTACTGTGGTACATTGTGCTGGCCTTTGGACAGAGAAGCTATAGGATGGCTGTGGAGACTGTAGGGTACTACTACTCCATGTTCTTTCCTCTGCTTTTCTGTGCCACAGCTCTCAGTAACTCCAAAGTCTTAACAGCAGTGACTTTTGTTGTTTAAATTCAGTAAAATACCCATTTCTTTTCTGGTTGGGAACATTCTGTTTATCTTTTCTTTTATTTACAATTTATTACATTCCTTTACTAAAAAATCACAGCTCATTACCTTTCCCTCATTTGGCTTTGGCTTGATCACTGTTCATCATTTTAGATTTTCACAATTTGTGTTTGTGTTAGTATTTGCTTCCTTCTCCACATTAACAAAGTGATCCCAGCACTCAGGAGGCAGAGCCAGGCGGATCTCTGTGAGTTCGAGGCCAGCCTGGGCTACCAAGTGAGTCCCAGGAAAGGTGCAAAGCTACACAGAGAAACCCTGTCTCGAAAAGGAAAAAAAAAAAAAAGTGAAAACACATAGATTTTTTTTTTATTCTTTGTTCTTTTCCAGTTTGAGATGATGGTCCTGTCTTTTCACTACTTAGTGTTTCCTTCCAATGTTTTATCTCATGTTTTCATTTGCATTTATATAAAATATTTAGCCGGGCAGTGGTGACGCACGCCTTTAATCCCAGCACTCGGGAGGAGGCAGAGGCAGGCGGATCTCTGTGAGTTCGAGGCCAGCCTGGTCTCCAAAGTGAGTTCCAGGAAAGGCGCAAAGCTACACAGAGAAACCCTGTCTCGAAAAACAAACAAAAAAAAATTTAATGTTTTCTTCTTTGATTTTCTACTTATCCATACACAAGCAAATGTGTGTACTGGTAAAAAAAAAAAAAAAAAACTAGTAACTGAAATATACTTTTATAATTTCTTTTAAAATTGAGTTTTCATGAAATATACTTTTAGTGAAGATATATGTTCATGTTTTAAAATCCCAGAATATGTGATAACCTTTATAATATGTACTTGACACTATTGGTTAATGCCCATTTTGGAATATCTTCCTCAGCCCCAAAACAAAACCAAATCTAAAATAAAAACCAAAAACCAAACCAGCAAAACAAAAAAACAAACAAACAAACCTAAAAAGTATCATGGAAACTGTAGTGTGGCCAGGTGAGTCACACAGTGTATCCTTTAGTCCATTTATCTATTTATCTCTATCTGTAAGTGTTCATTGCTATGAGTCACTGGTTTGGTTTGAGGCATCTAGCTTCTACTACACAATTAATAAGAAGCTACAGACTTCAACAGAGTAATCTCAATATTATTAACGATTGTCCCATCATTGAACATCAGATATGGTTATCATATATGACATAACTCAAATTGTATAACTTTGCCCAATACTTAGATCCCTAAAGGAAAACAAACATGAATATCTTGAAATGCAAGTTACCACTGTTAGAAGTTTTTGATTATAATCTTATTGTCACATTAAACATATAACTTTGACATCATGCAATGTTATGTATTTATTTAACTTTATGTGCTACTTTTATAGTTTTTTAGTTTAGTTTAGCAAAGAATGCTTTAAACATAATACACTCTACTTGAAAACTGAATCTTTGTAGGTTTATGTATTGATTTTTTTGATAATTTTTTTCTTTTAGATCCATAAATAGTATCAGAAGAAATTATGGAAATTAAGACCTAATTTTCAGATGGAGAGAAAAACAAAAGCAGTATTATGAGTCAGGGGAGACTCAACAATTTAAGTGTAAAAATGGATATCATCTAGCAGCATCTCAACTATTTCATACAATGTGGATTGATGGTCACATTGATTATCCCACTTATACAAAATATTAAAAGCATTAATTGAATTTAGTCATACAACTTTCTTTGGTTAAGGTGTATGCATATTATCAATAGTTTCAATTTTACTTTTGAAGTATTGTTTAACTCAATTTTATTATAAACTTGTATTGATATATGGTGATTAATCTGGCAACTGAGAGACTGTTGACACAAAGGCCAATGTGATTTATTCAAAACTCCCCAAACATGATGTGTCTTAGCACAAAAATCAGTGGCAAGGTAATAGATGTAATCACTTCCCAATCTGTCTTTATCCACCACTTTCCCAAAGCTTCTTCTACACCTTTTGATTCCAAGATTCACAGTGAACACAAGTCTTTAAAATGTGTAATTTCACAAATATGAAAGAACAAAATGTCATACTTTATATTACTAATGAATATAAGTAATTTGTGTGATTTTGCTTTTGTTACTAATTAATAAATAAGAATTTTGTGAATTAATTTTCAAATGTACCACTTTTATAATGTTAAATATACAACAACTATATAAAAGAACAAATTTTAATTGGGTATAAGAGTACATTGAATACCACAATTTTGGCATTAAAAACCTATAAAAATTTTGTATAACTTACAAACAGGTAAGATGCACATACTCTATGCCCCAAAACAATAAAGAAAATTGTGTTGAATATAATAAACATAAAACCTATGTTTGTCTTCATAACTGGTAGGGTTACAAGTTACTGCTTCTCCTCCCAGCCTACCTCCATCCCCATCCCCTAAATTCCCCTGTTCCTTAGCTTTCATCCATTCTTTCTAATCCTTCTCCATTTCTTTGTAACTCCATGTAGACCCACTGAACAGTTTTCAACCAGGGGTCCTATAGCCACCACACATGTCTAGGAATTGGAGATCCTAAAGCCACTACACATGGTTAGAGTCCAGAGCAGGCAAGAGCAACCCAAGTGTGAAACTCCTACTCAACAAAGGTAAGACCAAGTATTTTCAGCAAGAAGAATGTCAAATGGCATAACTCTAGATGCCTATATTGTAGCATAAAAACATAAACATGAATAAACAAGGCAATGTGCTTCCTCCAGAAACCAGAACCCCTATTGTAGCATGCCATGAGAAAAGCAATAAAACAAGAGCTTCAAAGGGGCAATTGTGCATATGCTGGAGAATCTTAAAAAGAATACCAATAAATGCCTAAATGAAGACAGTGAAAACAACATATAAACAGTTGAATGAAATACTGAAAAAAAAAACAGATTTGAAAGTATAATTTAACAACAACAAAATAAAATCACTAAAGTAATATCAAAATGAACTAAAACTCAAAATAAAAAGCTCAGGAAGTCAAACAAAAACTCAGAGAAAAACCTCTCCAACATATTTAATGAAGTTAAATAGATAATTTAGTCTTGAAGATACAATAGAAGAAAAATGGATAGCTCAGTCAAAAGAAATATTAAATTTAAAAGAAAAGAAGGTAGGAAGGAAGATAAAGGAAGGAAGAAAAGAAGATCCAGGCACAAAACATTAAAGAAATTTTTGACATTAAAAAGACCAGTCAATAGAGGAAAGAGGGAAAAAACAGACAAAAGGCATAGAAAATACTTTTTACAAAGCAAAGAAGAAAATTCCACCTGATCTAAAGAAAGAGATGCTTTCAGGGTATAAAAGACACAAAGAAAGGGAAATAGACAAGACCAGAAAAGAAAATTCCCATAACACATGATAATCAAAACACTAAATATGCACAATAAAGGATTTAAAATTTGAAAGGGATAAAGACCAAGCACACACGACAGCAAGCACATTACCTGACTTCACAATAGAGACTCTAAAAGCCTTCTGGACATTGATGGGTGTTGTACAACTCTGAAACACCATAGATGCTGACCTACACTAAATACCCAATAAAACTATTCATCAAAATCAATAGAGAAAAAGATTCATGATGAAACCAAGTTTAAGGATCTTTTTTGTTCACCAATAAACCTCTATAGAAGACATTAGAAGAAAAAACTCAGTCTCAGAGAGGAGGTTAGCTACACCAAGAATACACAAAGATAATCACAGAATGGTAAATCAAAATTAGAGGGATACTCACAACACTACAACAAAATATCAGGAATCAATAAACACTGCTTAATAAAAAAAACTTACAATATCAATGACCTCAACTCCTCGATCAATAGACACAAGCTAATGAAGGAATTAGAAAAAGGATATGTTAGTTGATGGTGACACATCCCAGCACTTAAGAGGAACAGGTAGGCATGTCTCATCTGAGTTTGATGCCAGCCTGGTCTACAGAGTGAATTCCAAGACATCCTAGATTACAAAGAGAAACTGTAACACAACTCTTAAAAGGTCTCATTTGTGGTGATATTTTATTTGTACTGAAATGTGATTTTAATTTTATGTTAATAAATAAAGTTGCCCTGGGGTCAGAGCTATTAGAGCCATAGCAAGAGCATGGTGGTTAGAAGAGCTAGGTAGATTTCTGTGTGTTCAGGGATACAGCCAGTATTAGAGACATACGCCTTTAAGACCTGGAGGGCGGTACTTACAGGCAGTGATGAGGCAGTCATGTGGTTGGGTTTACAACCAATGAGAAGGCAGAACAGAAAGATTATTTAAACAGAGACACAGGAAGTACCTCCCTCTCTCGGGGAAGCTAGGAGCACTGCAGGAGGTAAGATTTTATCTCTGAGCTCTGACCTCTCGGCTTTCTCTTTTACATTGGCTCTGTGTTTCTTATTTTAAAAAGACGATTGGTTACATCTACACTCATTAAAATAAAAACCTGGAGCCAGATATTAGGGTGAACAACTGAGAGATCAGAAGACTAGAACAAGCCAAGGCAACCTCACCTTAATGACCCTCAGTCTCCAAAGAGACCTACTTCCTGTCTACCCATGCTTATATGCCTTTCTGTTTTGTTATCTCATTTGCTCACTCTGCCCAGCTACATCACTTCCTCTTCCTGCCCAACGCTGTCATTTCCTGTTTGTACAGTCCTCCAGACCTTTATGGTTAACTAGTGTTGGAATTTAAGGTGTGTGCCACCAGGCTTGGCTCTGTTCCCAGTGTGGCCTTGAACTCACAGAGATCCAGATAGATCCCTGCCTTTCAAGTGATAGGGTTAAAGGCTTGTGCTACTACTGCCTGACTTCTATGCTTAATACAGTGGCTGGCTTTTTCCAGGCAAGGTTTATTTATTAGAGCACAAATAAAATATCACTACAAGAAACCCTGTCTCAAAAAATAGAAAGAAAGGAAGAAAGGAAGGAAGGAAGGTAGGAAGGAAATAAAGAAACAAAGGATGGAAGGGTTAGTATGGAGAATCTCATCCCCAGCCCAGTACTTGTAGTGAGTTGTCTTCCTTTGCTGACTTCATTCCCTGGCGACTCCACTTTGGAGACAAGAAGAATCATCCTAAACACAGGTGCCTCGAAGCCAATACAAAAACACAATAATTAACAACCAAGACAACATCCCACCAGAAGCCAGCAACCCTACTACAGGTGCCTCTGAGAAATGCAATATAGCTGAAGCACAAGACAAGGACTTCAAAATGATTATTATGAATATTTTCAAAAACCTTAAAGAGGATGTGAATAACTCCTTTAGTGAAGTCTGTGAAAACACAAACAAACTGATGAAAACAGTTCAAGTAGAAATGGAACCACTAAAGAACACCCAAAGTGCAGTAAAAGTGAAAATTAAAAATTTAGAAAGTCAAACAAAAAACTTCAGAGGTAAGCCTCTTCAATGGAGTGGAAGGGATGGAAGGAAGAATCTCAGGCATTCAAGAAATGATAGAAGAAATAGACACTTCAGTCAAAGAAAATGCAAAATCTTTAAAAATCCAGTTCATGAACTCTGAGACATTATGAAAAGACCAAATCTACAAATAACTGAAATAAAAAGGAAAAATTAAGTCAAAGGCACAGAAATGATTTTGCTGTGGAATGTTCTGTATGCTGTTAATGGGTTGCTCTGATTGGTTGATAAATAAAGTGCTGATTGGCCAGTAGTCAGGTAGGAAGTATAGGTAGGATAAACAGACAAGGAGAATTCTGGGAAAAGGAAGGCTGAGTCAGGAGGTGCCAGCCTGCCACCCAGGGAGCAGTATGTAATGGCACACAGGTAAAGCCATGGAACACGTGACAACATATAGATTAACAGAAATGGGCTGAGTTTAAGTGTAAGAGCAAGTCAGTGGTAGGCCTGAGCTAATGGCCAAGCAGTTTTAATTAGTATAAGCTTCTGAGTGATTATTTTATAAGCGGCTGCGGGGTCTGTGGGGCTGGAAAGGACCAGAGAAAACTTCAGCTACAGGATTTTCAACAAAATGTAGAACACAATTTCCCTAACCTAAAAGAAGAGGTGCCTATCAAGGTAAAAGAAGCATATATAACCCCAACTATACTGGAGCAGTAAAGAAATCCCCCACAACACAAAATGATCAGAACACTAAATGTGCAGAACAAAAATTATTTAAAGATTCAAGGGGGAAAGCCCAAGTAAAATATAAAGATAGCCCCATTAAAATAACCCCTAATTTCTCAATGAAGATTCTAAAAGCCAGGAGGGCCTAGACAGATATTCTACAAACTCTAAGAGACCACAGATATCAGACCATATTACATTACCTAGCAAAATTTTCAATCACAACAAACTGAGAAAAAAAAAGCATTTTATGATAAAAAACAAATTTAAATAGTATTTATTTATAAATCCAGAAAACTGCTACTTGAAGAGGTTAACTTCACCCATAAAAACACAAGGAATAAACAATCCCAAACCAGCAATCAAAGGAGGGAAAAACACAATAACAATAAAGTAACAATAAAATAACAGCAATCAATAAACACTGCTATTTGACAACTCTCAATATCAATCTTCTCAATCCCCTAATAACAAAATACAGACTAACAGAATGGATGAGAAAACAGGATCCATTCTTCTGCTGCATCCAAATAACACACCTCAACATCAAGCATAGATACCACCTCAAGGTATAAGGTTAAAAGAAGAAATTCCGAGGAAATGGAAGAACAACAACAACAACAACAAAAATAGTGTGGCTATTTTAATATCTGAAAAAATAGACTTCAAACCAAGAATAATCAGAAGACATAACAAAAGGCACTATATTATTATCAAAGGGAAAATCCAACAAGAGGATATTACAATTCTAAACACAAGGGCACCCACTCCAAAACCAAGAACTAGACACTGGCAGCCGTCAAGGAAGAGACAAAAATATCTCTCCATTGGATTTTCCTAAAAGGTGGTACATACTGTACATACTACCTTTCCCCACATGTCCCTGTCATTATTGATACAGTATCTCCTCTTTCACATTCTTCCCTTTCACTGACTTTGTGTTTATCTAAAGATAGACTTTTACTCACTGAGACACTAGTGTTGGTGAACATCCTGTTTCTATGCATATTATGTGAGTCAAGAAGGAATTTAAAGGAGACACAAAAACTTTGTTGTATAAAGAGACCAATAGTGCCAGAGAAAGTAGGATTCAACACATTGACACTGGTTCCCTGACATAGCAGACACTCTACCATAGGCATAGGAGACAGTGTGATTGAGCAGCCTCAGCAGACTTCATTGAGGAGAATGCCAGTAATCTAATTACAGATGCTGATAACCAGCCAACGGGAAGGGGTATC